ATATATACACACACTGAAAATGATAGATAAATATAATGGCAAACAGGAAGAATAAGAGAATAAGAGAAAATAATAACAGAAATATATTCCTGCAGTTCTTCACTTGATCTTTAGGTGGCACTGTAGGAAAAAAAATGTTTTAAACTCTTATGAACTTTTGTATTTTGAATTAAACTTTCCAGGACAAATTTCTCTTTACAAACCCTTAAAAGAACACATGTTGTGATTAAAGTAAATCTAGACTTTAGCACATCAATAGGTTAACACTCATGTAGTTAAAGGACTGGAGGAAAGAAGAAGAAGTTACCAGTATCCTTTCAATGAGCATGTCATAGTACTGCTCAATGAGCTCAGGTCGACTTAGCACAAAACGGCCGAGGAGCTCCACAGCAGCCTCTCGCACACTGGTGGAGTTGTCCATGAGGCGACAATGAACCCCACGTTGCATGTCCAGCTTAAAAAATAAAGAAGGAAAATTAGTTTAGGACAGTGACAGGACAGAACTATAGCTATCAATCTCTGTGGCATCGAGCCATGAGCAGCACGTTAGCAGGGCAGCATTTACAGCTCTGGTGCTCAGTTGCGGACAAATATGCACAGTCACAACAGCTGAAACACGTTCTGTGTCAGACAAGCTGCAAGAGCCAAGTAGCAGTCGATACTGAATGACCTACCCGTGCCAGGATACTTGGATCTACAGCCACTACTTCAGAGAGACACTTCATAGCTTTAGTTCTGACTGCAATAGCGCTCTCTCCCAGCACTCTCAGGATCTAGTTTGAAGCCATAGAGAGAAAAAAATTAATGACAGCTGACACAATATAAACAGTCACTGGTGTTTAAGCTAATTCAAGCTAATGATCATCTTACCTGTGATAAATAAATATCAAAGCTTTGTGCAAACGGCCTCATGGAGGCCAGATATCTAACAATCAGACAGGAGTCGTTGTAGTTTATTGTGTCAGAGTTCATCCTGAAAGAAAAGTCAAGAGTATCGTTTACTATAAGGATGAGAGGACAAACGAGCCATGTGGCGAAGTAGTGTCGTGAGTGAAGCACTATTTACCTCAGGGAACTGAAATGCGATGTTGACGTCTTGACGGCCTTGCGGAGGAATTTCTTCCTTGCCTCTGCCTTCTGCATGATCTCGGCGGTCGAGTCAACATCCCTGGAATGATGGTGACCTTTCAAGTCCTCGTCGTCCTCACTTTGAGACTTCATTGCCTTTTCTGCCTCACTTGTAATGTCCCTGAACCACTGGGCAATATAAAACTTCCTAGCAAACTGGATGAAACAAATACATAAATATATAAGGGCAGAGTATAATACATCTTTTTAAAACACGAAAGCAGTTCCGTAGATTTTAGTTCATGAAAAATCAAGTTAAAAACACACCACCAATGATGGATCCGTTTCAATGTTCTCATCTAGGTAGCCGAGCAAAGCCTTCTGTAGTTTTGGTATCTCGTCGCTGCCTTCAGTCTGTGAAAAAATGCCAAAAGCATTTTAAAAGCAGATCGACATCTTGGTTGGTTTTTTATCTGTTAAACAAATTCTGTTAGTCTACCTCTCTGAGGATGCGGTCAATAGCCTTTTGGTCCATCTTGCTAGTGACAGCATCTTTACGCAGACGGGAAGCGACAGTGCCAAGGTAGTCCAGCGATGCCACCCTAAGTGCCATTTCTGTCTGCTTGTTACTGAACTGGTGCACCTGGAACACAAGACAAGGAGGAGAAATGTCATAAGAAAACCAAACATCTGCAACTTTTTCCTAGTGGGCAGATGACGAGTGGTGACACTCACCAGCAACCGGCCCAGTAAACTCAGGAGCAGCTCAGCAGCAGGCCACTCAGGCTTGTTAACTGTAGACAGCAGGTCATGAACAAAGTTCTCAAACAGCGGCCTGTAATCCTCCTCTCCCTGTTTACTGCCACACCTGAAACATGCAGAGTACTTACAGAATAGCAACACATGCAGTGCAGCTTATTCCACAGAAAAAGATACAACATATAAGGAGTCACAGTCACACAGACATGACAGGTTATAGCAAGAGTAGGAACAATGACTTACTTCTTGAGGAACACAGATAAGAAGTTCTGAGCTGTCCTCATGGCAGTTTCATAAGAGTTTGTAATAAGAACATCTTTATCCACCTAGACAATAAATACCCAATAAAAAACAGTTTTAGCATTTCTTAAAATACATGTTTTGGGTATTTATTGAAGGCAAATATGGTTTTAAAAAATCTATTAAAACCTTAATGTCACCTTCTTATTGTGCTCATCCTCTGTCTCTTTCTCAGAGGGAAGGTGGACCACACACTGGATGAGCTGAAGAACAAGGGCTGTGACCATCTGGATATACAAAGGTTCTCCATCTGAGTCACTGCTGTTCAGCCTGGGGAGTATGAGACATCAGTGTCCTTATGTTACACTGGGGGCCTCAATAAACATCTGATATTGAGCAAATATTTACTCTGGTTGTAGTTACCTGAAATTCCTCAGGCTGCGTTTACTAGTCGGCAGTCTGGCCAGGGAGGTGAAAATCTCTTCAAGAATGAGCTGCCTGTGCTTCTTGTAATGAGAAAACACCTACACGAGAGTCAAACAAGAAACAACCGCATCAAAATACACCAGTCCAGACGTCACACTGAAGCATCCCATCAAAAACTTAATCCAAATCAATTTCAGAAGCACCTATAGTAATACTCACCGCAGTCACTAGTGTGATGGCACATAACTGCAGTTCACTAACATTCTCCACAAAAAATGGTGTAATGCCAAGGGTGGACACCTAAAAGATGGGCACAAAAGCAGTGAGATATGAGTTAACTCAACAGCCAAGGTGACATGAGGACACAAATCTGAGTGATGTGAAGGCAGATTCAAAACTGCACCTGCAGAATTGTGGTGTCAGTAAGCAGCTGGATTTCAAGGAGCTCAGAGATGCTGCTGATGATATCGCACACTTTGTTGTAGAGCAGGACTACCACCTTCTGTTTGTGGGTAGAACATTTGGCTCTCTTGGACTTTGAAGTATGCATGCCACCTGGGTGAGGAAGATCCGATAAATAAACAAGAATAAATTATTTAAACAAAAAACCCCAGAAGTAATATGTTAGAATTTCTCAGATATTCTGACACAATCTTTAGATTCAAATCCAGGGTCTTAACATCAGCTGATAAGAAATACTTGATGTTACAGCCCACAATGTACCGTATGTTACATGGGAGGAACTTTGGTAAAGGTAAATGCATTAGTTTTAGATTTAAAATGATTTGTGGCCAAAAGGAGGACAAGAGAATTTGAAATGTATAAAAAAAAACTTCTATTAGTCACACCAAAAGTCACTGGCTTTATTATCAAGCACTACCAAAATACCGTAAGAAATTCAAGTAAGTAAAGTTTTAAAAACTCCAAAATGCTAAAATACACACATTTTTTTAATCTCTTGGAAATCATGATTATTGCTGTACGTGTTAAAACAGCTAAAAAGAACGTAATAAAACTGTGGCTGACCTCCGTGGGGATCCACTCTGTAGACTGGGTCATACTGAGGGTACAAAGAGTTTTGCAGATGGAACTTGGTGTACTGCAGCACCCTCTCAATCACATCTTCTATATAAACAGCCTTTGGCATGTGCGGAGACGTCATTATGTTGAGTGCAGTCAAACAAGCATCGGCCGACTTGGTCACTCGCTCCATGATGAGGTTGCGCCACAACCGCTCCTCATCCATGGAGTCATTACCCTATGATTCAGTTTTTTAAAAAAGGAAATAAATTTCACATTTTGTGCCTGAACAGCATAACTAAGATCAGGCTGAGAACTTACATGGTTCATTAGTGTAGAAAGTTTGACGCTGTCCTGAATGTTCCTCTCCAAAATATTCAAAAACTTCACCAGTTTACTAGAAGAAAACTGCAGAAAAAAATAATTGGTTACTTTAACCGTACAGTAGGTGTCATTTAAGGTTGTTTACAATGACAAAATGCTGTCACCATGAGTGTAACAATTTAACACTGCAAGAACATGTCCTTCTCACCTTGTTAGAGATGCCCATAGCTTTAATCTTAGCAGAATCGCTGCCCAGCTCACTCAGCTGCTGCTTTCCAAGTAAGAGCTCTTGAGGTATTTCATCATCATCTGGCACAGAGTTACAATGTCACTATTTTTTAATGTGACACTCGATAAATGTCAAAGAGTCTGAAAACAGCAGAGTAAATCATAACTACCTGCGGCAGTGAGGTCCACGTCTTCGAGATTCTCAAGAACGCTGTCAATATTCGATGCAAATCTCTTAAATGTGGAGGAGTCCATCATCTCTGTTAGATTAACGTCATTGAGAACTGATTAATACAAATACATTATGTTTTAATAAAATAAATTATGAATTAATTATAAAAGAATTCAAAGTGCCAGGTCAATACCCTCTGGTGTCAACTTGGAATCATAAATCTTCCTGTTTTTCAGTTTATCCTTTTTCTTCTGCTTTCTGGCAACTAAACACACACACACACACAATAGTACCCAAATCAGCAGCAGCAACAACCAACCCTCAAGCCATCAACAGAGAAACAAATTGATGTTGTATTCTACACACCCCAGGAACTGGAATGACCAATTATTTTAAATAACGATAATCTGAATGACAGGACAGCTGTAATCTAATCAAAAAGTGAAAGCACGGGCTTCACTGGCCACCACATTATTTGATTATCCACTTATCTACTGGTAAGCGTATGCAAAAAAAATAAAAATAAAAATCTGACCATCACTCAGGCTCGGTGGGAGAGAGCCTTCATCTGAATCTTCATCTCTCCAGTCGCGCTGACGGCTACCAGACCCTCGGCGAGCGTTATGAAAACCTTCACTTCGACGGTGTTCTCCAGAACCTCTTCTCTCTTCATGCTTCCACGTCTTATCGTGGTCTTTCTTTTTCTTTTTCCTTGCATCTAAAAAAACAACAACAACAGAGAAGAGTACACGTTGAGACAGCATCTGCATTGTAAATTACTGCTTTACATGCAATTAGGGCTATAATTTATAATTAGGTCTAATTTTTAGGAAAAAGTTACATTTTTGTAATTTTGCTTTTGCACACCAACACTGGTGACTTTAACTCAAACAGTCAAGGTGTGACTGAAGTGCACACTTTGAGCTGTAATCCAAGAGGTTTTGTAAAAGTACTGCATTAACTCCATTGTTAGAGGGTCAAAAGTTATTGGACAAACTAATACAAATGTAAAAATAAGGATTGTTTTTAATACTTGAAAAGACTCTGCAGTCTAAAGGTTTTATTGTCATTCTGACAGGTTTTGTTTTGTTTTTCCCGCCTAATGATGGCGTCTTTCTCTCATTACTCTTTGGACCTCATGCTAAGTTCCAATTAAAAGCTACCAAATTCAAGTTAAGTACTTGGAAGTTAGACATTTTATCTGATTCATCTGTCATTAAATAACAAGGGAACTGGCTTTTTCTGGCCACGAACCTGCTTTTATTTCAACTGTCCACTTGCTTTTGAGCCTCTGAAAATAGAGGACTATGTATAAAAATGGCCATAATTCCTAAAAAATTCATGTAATACTTTTGTTAAATACTGGTTTGACTTAAAATACACAATAGTGGTGCACAAAGAAAACAAAAAAAATGCATCACTGTCAAAATACTGTAAATAAATAAAAGGAAATTCCATCAGAAATAGAGACAGTAAAGCACTTTGGTAGATTTTACAGAATTCCCATGTGCTCTTCTAAAAACTTGCAATTTTTAAGGCTTAACATTATCACTAATTTAACTGTAATTGAGATTAAACATGCTTCAATAGTGGCCTGGACAAGTGGGCAGCAGACACTTTAACAATATTAAACAAAAACAGATAGAAAAGCAAGTGTAACACACTACAAAAGGATGAACACAATTGCCAGAACACATGCAATGCTCAAGGTCAAAACAGGAACAATTTCAATTAAATTTCTGTGCAACTTTAAGAGGAAGCACATCCACCAGGAGTAATATTTTCTCTTGAACTGAACCATAGCAACAGGTACTGACTATTTCAGGTCCTTATGCAGATCGTGGAAAAAATGAGCAGCATTTTTAGAAGCTACTGTGGGAGCAGAGGCGATACATGATTTCAGTTTTTACACGACTGAGAACATGAGATTATAAAAGGCAGCGATACTCACGCTCATTGTCAGAGTCTTCATCGTCATCCTTGTCTTGGTCATCATCCGAGGCCAACTCAGCATATTTGGATCTCTTGCTAATCATACTGTGGCTTCGCTTGTTTGTCCTCTCACAAAATGACCAGTTCCTGGATCTGGAGCCGTGCGCGTTCCTGCTTTCCTTAATGATCTTTTTCACCTCATCAACGCTGAGTTTTTTAACCACGACAACGGGTTTAGCTCCTTTGTTTAAGTTATCTACCAATGAGACTCTCTCCAGCCTTACTCGCGGTTCGCTCCAGCCTTCTACTAGTTTATTTGGGGGATCTTTATCTTTTCCATCTCGTTTCAATTTAGGAATCACAAAGTTCTTCAGGGTCCCTGACTTGCCACCCAGCAGGTACGAGGGGAATTCGCTCGGTTTGGCCTCAAAGGACTGACGTTTGTCTCCAGCTTGGCACTTAATGTTGCCGTCCTCGCTTGTCTTTTGGTCCTTATTTTGGGGATTTTTAAGGCTGGAATTGCCTGTCCTCTGTCGACTATTGGGGTCAGCTGATTTTTTGCTTCCATCGTGCTTTAGTCTGGTGCTGTCAGGTTTAGTATGCGGGTCAGCTAAGTTTCGACTGCAGTTTTCTCTTAACATCTTCTGTTTCCTGTCCCTGTCCTTGGCTTTGTCTCTCTCTTTCTCTTTTTCTATGTGTCTGTCTTTGTCCCTGTCTCTCTCTTTTTCTATGTGTCTGTCTTTGTCCCTGTCTCTCTCTTTCTCTTTTTCTATGTGTCTCTCTTTGTCTTTGTCCCTGTCTCTCTCTTTCTCTTTGTGTCTGTCTTTGTCCCTGTCTCTTGCTCTATCTCTATCCTTGTGTCTTTCTCTGTCCTTATCCCTGTCTCTATCCCTGCCTTTGTCTTCTCCATGTCTCGAGCGCTCTGTCTTGCTCGTGTTTTTTGGGGTGTCGGGTCGGTTTTCAAGCATTCGGTGGCTGTTGTGATTCTTTTCCTCTTTGTGGCGTGACTTTGAATGCTTGTCAAGTTTCTGCCGTGAGGGGTCTGGCCTTCTGTCATCTGATGGTCCCTTGCTGCTGTCACTTTTGTCGTCATGTCTGTGTTTTGATTCACGCTGGCTTTCCTGCTTCTGTTTATACATTTCCGGTTGTCCATCTGAGCCAGACTTCTGGAGAGTGTCAGCATGCTGCTTGATGATCCCAGGTCTGTCATCACCAACCCTTTTGACCTTTCCATCGGGGTTTGACTTCAGACGACGTAGGTGATCCTCACACAGCGGCTGTGATTCCAAGACCACTACAGGCTGTCCTATTACTCTGCCAGCTTGCTGTAGATCGATACTGACCATCAAAGCAGGCCGACTGGCACCATTACTTGCAGCATTCGTCTTCTTGGGTGTCATCTTGCTGACACTGTTGCCCCCATGAATGGCAGCCCCATCATTTGACTCTGTCCCGGGTTCCTGGGGATAGGAGTCTTGTTTCCGTTTCTTCAGCGGCTTGTCTGAAAGAAAGAACACTACAACTTAGCACCTCTACACAAACAACCTGACAGATGAGAAAAACATGCTAAGAAGCACAGGGGAAAAACAAACACAGATTTTCACCTTTGTCCTGAACTTCTTTAGACCATCGTTCTCGGTCACTGGCTGACTCGCGTTCTATCCTCTCAATCTCTGCAAGTGTGTCTATCTCTGTATCATCAAAGGAAACTCTGCCAGTGACACCAGTTTCAATGGTATTTGACCGCACAGCAGCCTGTTGACAGTTTGCTTGATCGTCAGCTCCTAACTTGTTTGGAACTTCCTGGGCAGGTTTTGATAACTGGTTATTATTATTATTATTGATCATAACTGTTTCATGGTCCAATTCCATATGTGCCTCAGGGGGAAGCTCCTCAGATTGATCCACGTCTTGAACCTTTACTCTGGACAGTTTTAAGGTCAGCTTGGTCGAGTCTTTTGGTGAACTAACTATATCGTACAAGGCATTTTTTTCCATCGGATCACTTTCTTCTTTACTCCTCTCCTTATGTTTCTTCTTGCGATCAGACGAGGTGAGGATTTGGTCAGGCGGTGCACCTCGTGGCACATCAGCTGGAGGCGACTGCATTATGAGGGAAGGCCTAGACCCTGCAGAAACACAAAGTATTTGATGGAATTGTGAAGACCACAGATTTAAGCCAAACGTGATTTCAGTAGCAGTGTATTAGGTTTTTTTGCGAAGACACAAAAATGAAGAATTAACTTGTTGCTAAGGCAGCATACTTTGTACAGTCTCTTCACTCCCAGCTGGAGAACATGCCGACTGTGGGGATCTCACTGAAAATGCGGCAGCCTTCATTGGAGAATCATGCTCCTATTGAAACACAAGACATTTCTTATTATTTTAACAGTCAGCTAGACGTAAGAGTCACCAGACACGATACAATATTTTTCAGATTTTTTATATTTTGGGATATCCCGAGTATTGCAATAACACATATTGTGATTTATCACCTTTTTCAACTGCAAATTACATCCTCAAAGTTAACCTTTGTCAATATCTGCTTTATCCAATAATTTACCTTACTTTAGTTGTGACAAAATTAGATTGTTAAGCACACACTGCCATAAATGTTGCCATAAGATGGGCTCAGTCTGCTATCAGTCTGTGACTGAATGGGATCAAGTTAACTGTCCTGTTTTTACTCATTAGTTGACCCATTAGCTTGCTCTGAATTAGTCGGTAGCGTTGTCAAGCTAAATGTGTCCAGTGCTGGGTAGTTTTTTGGTTGAGCTGATTTAATTGAAGTTTGCTCAGCTAGCATCATCTCATCTGCATGAGACGAACCATTTTGTTTATAGTATTTCCAGAGTATTTTAATTTATTAAGTCAAATATCAATATTTGGTCTCCCTGTATTGATGCAATAATGCCATGTAAAATATCCCAACACTGTGCTCTATTTATTTTTTCACCCACGCCTAGTTTGAGCTGAGGTCCAGTTCATGATATCTTGAATTTCCACATTACCTCATTTCCCAGTCTGTGAGCCACGTTCATGTAGTCTTCATCTGAGCCCAGTCTTGCATTGTGATTCGATAAATCAGTTGATAGATGTCCAGAGACTTTGCTGTCATGGATATTTCTCAAGCCACTCGTAACTGAAACGAAAATGAAATTAAAATTCTAGTTAGATATTTGCTCATTTTCTCACCACTTAACGGTGTATATAAGTTAATAATGTTATTAGGGATCAGTTAAGTAATTTGCATACAACCAGCTAGGTCTATCCAAGTCACCATGTGCACTGTTACTGGTTGCTGAAGTACACAAATGCACATAAAACTTCAGTTTGCTATTTTCTGTCGTTACTAAAAGCAATTCGACATGCAGCTTATGTGATACTTTTCTCTTGACCAAACATTACACTCACCTTGCTGAGCGTGTTGGTGTTGGGAATAACTGGGTGGATTGTACTGCATGTAGTCCGCGGGACTCTGGGGTGTGTAGGGACTAGGTATAGGGCTGTTCTGCTGGGGTACAAAGCGTGGCCCTGAACCAGACTGCGGTGATGTAAAGCATCTGCAGATGAGGAAAGCAAAGGAAAAGAAGCCTTAGCTGAGGAATACATGCCTCTGATTTTCATCATCAGACAATACGGTGGCACTGCTTTACCCAGAGGGGCTCTGAGGGACAGTGGTTTGCTGATAGTTTGAGGCTGGACTCCCATGGACCTGATTCTGAGTAATCTTATACTGCTGCACTATTGGCTGCAGCATTACACCTATGAGATAAAGACAACAACAACAACAAAAATTAGACACATATCAAACAAGAAGCTCAGCATGTGCATTTCTCCAGCTAAACCAAGCCTGTCTACTGAGTAGGAATACTGGGTTCACTATATTATAATATAAAGCAGGTTATTTTTCTCATTCCAGGATATTAAGTCTATAATAAGTCTTAGCAAATAAGTATTTTATAAATTATCCTGATCCTGTTTAAACATAATAATATATATTTTCTCTACCACTGAGGCATGAGGAAGAAAGTTGCAACATTAAATATGCAGGATGAAAAACTGTGTTAAAGACAACATTTCAGATGCAAAATAAAGTGAACACTTAATACAACAGGTCTGCTACGATCTTGCCCATCCTTTTCCATTAACCATGCAGGAAAGGTGTCCATTCCAGTCTGCGATCATTTTGAGGGCATGTTTAGTGATGGTGGTTGCATTACACAAAACATGGTTTCACAGTCCTAACAGTGGGGTGATCGTCTCATAATGCAAGTTTGTTTGCAATGTCAGAGCGTTTGGTACTAAACTGCAGGAGCAGCATTATATTTTCAAGTAATGAAAATAAAATCTGACAAAGTGAATTTCAGAGTGACGAAGAAAGAGGTTAGTATGGCGAGAATAAACCAAAGCGGGAGGCTATGTACATTATCATCCATTAGCATTAAATGATGCTTGACTCCACATTTTTACGGGCTGTGAGTGTGGTCATTACCACAAACACTTGTTTACTTTTTCTTGTTTTCATTTTGCATTTGCCACTGTCCTCAATAATGATGCCTAAATGTTTGCTTTAATATTATTATAATATTATTAATTATTATTAACTACAATTACCACCTGTGACTGTGAGATATTGCGGCTGTTCCTATAATAATAAAACTTTCCCAAGCTAAAGCCAAAGCCAAATATGAAAATGTCTATGGCAATGAGCAATCTAGCCAATGACAACAAAACAAACAGAGCTAGGCTGTTTCTCTCTCTGGCTGTAAATTTTTTTGACAGATCCTATTTATTATTAATTCCAGAGACCCGAATTATATTAGGGTGAATAAACATCAACAGGTATTTTTTAACCTAATGAAGACATCAAAAAATAGTGTTCTGTTTTTGTTTGTTTTTTTTAATTATCTGAGTTTATAACCAATATGAAGATAGATTTAAAGGGCTTTTTCACACAAGTCCCAACGAAGAGCTTAACCTCTAATGGGAAGCCAGATTTTGAGACATTTGTCTACCAGATTTATACAGCTACTGCAATCCACTAGAAACAAATGAAAAGATAAAAATTCCCTACTTTAAATAATCAACAGACCTGGATAGAAGAAACAGTCTCTGTAAAAAAAAAAAAAAAAAAACTAATTAAAGGATGTGCTAAACAATAAAATTGTATAAAAGATATTTCTTTGGTCCTATAGCTTAGACCTTTAATGTAGTTTCACTTGACAAGCTAAAGATTCCTGGTTTGACCCCAGAAGGAGACACAAAACCCTTTGAGGTTTGCATCTGGCAAATAAAAACAATCAAAAAATTCTGCCAAATTAAACATCCGGAGCTACCCACTGTGGTGACCCCTTGCAAATAAGGGAACATAGCTTCATTTAAAGACTAGGACTTTAAAGACTAAAGTCTTTAAAGACTTTAAAGACTAGGAGATAAAAGAGCCAGGATCTGTCCAAACAACTAGGTGAAGACGCCTTGTGACTGCCGAAACTGATTTAAGACAATTATTTTATGCACGCTGTAGGCAATTGACTAGAAAGCTGGTCACCAAAACAAAGAGAAGCCCTGTTTTTGTTGTTAGTTACGAGACAGCGCAAACCTGGCCATCCCACGACAAACACAAAACTTACTGGACCATTACTGTTGTTGATCAAGTGATTAAGATAACTTCTTCAAATTCCATACAGGGGCTGTTTTTCACTTTCTACAGGCTGATCTATCGGTGCAAAGGGCAAATACACAAGTATCTGTAGTTAACATTAGCATTTGTCCTCACCTTTTGTGCTGAAACAATGTAACCGCCAATGCTCACCCATTAAAACTAAACCTGCATTTATACAAAAACTCGGCAACACACTTGCCAGTGGTTTCCATATTTGTCTTGCCACTCCCTAGTATGTCTTACAAGGGGGGAAAAAACAAAACAAAAAACATCAATGACAGCTCAGTTCTTGTAATCAGCGCGATGCAATCCAGCAGTAAGAGTGTGAATAGTTGCACTTTCCTGTAACAGGCTAAAATGCTTATTCTGTGTGGTGTGGTGATTCCAGAGTTTCCTCCTGTGGTGACAATGACTGCAGTGTGGGAATCACACAGGATGAAACAAGGCCTAAGTAGCACATCCAGCAAAAGATATGCTCAGGTGAATAATTAAGCTAAACTAAGGTACCCGCAGAGAGAAAGCATGCAGCAAGATCAACTGCAGAGTCAACAGCAATGTCTCAGTGTCTTCTCCTTACCACCCAGAACCTTGTGCTGGGTTTGCATACTTTTGTCCCTGAAGATTTTGGGATTCCTGGACAGCAAAGTTTGTAGGAGCATTGGCATGTCGCCCTCGGGTTCATCGTTGCCCAAGTTGTCCTTCAACTCTCTGGAAAATAAACATAAGAACAATCTATGTTACAGGTAAGAGCCACCTATTCCCAAAAGCCAGCTACTGTAATATGCTCACTGGCATTAAATTGGCAATACCCGACTATAGTACTGAGCTAAACAGTCATTACTCTGAAATAACACACTGTCAGGGCAATAGTTTATGTGCAATTCAAAAATAATTTAAGAGTTAAAAAAAAAAAAAAAACCAGTACTGCAGCGAGGTATGAAAGATCAGCGAGTGAAACTTACATGTGTTCGGTGGAAACCTGGTTAAGGCTATGCGCCAGCTGAGTCACTAGACTCTCGTCTCGACACACCAGCAGGCTGCTGACCTCTTCTGAGATCCTTCCATTGTAGAGGAGGCTCTTAGCAGTGGTGGCAGGTAGGGGAGAAGGCAAAGGAAGCTGGTTCAACACTGAAAGGACAGTTAAAAGAAAATCATGGCATAAAACTGTACAGGGAAACGCCTGTAAGGACGCCCAACTCACATGCACTATGTAGAAGTAATGTAAAAGTAACACTTTGTTTGGCAATGCACTATTTAAATTTGCAGCAACATTCTAATCTGGATAAACAATCCAAAGGTTTCAGAATGTGTATTAAATGCAATGATGCACACAATATATTTTACATATGTTTCTTTTTTTCATTTCTGAAACTGATATAGCGCACATAAATCTATAACCTCTGAATTGACAATAACTAGTATTCAGGCGTTCTTATAACTACATGCCCAGTTAATTTCGGCCTGCTTGGCATTCAAGTAATCACTAGTCTTGCCTCATTTTAGTCTGAATTCTAGTGTTTAAGCTGTGATGATGTTGCACTTACAGTCTGTTAGGCTAGCAATTCCAGCAAGAGTAGTGATGGGAACATGAGGCATGTCACCATTCATGCTGAAGATGAGGTCAAGAGGTCGTGTCAATGCACAGGTTGGTCAATATCACCAATCGTCCTATATGTCACATCGCCAAAGTGCTGCAAAAGACAGGAAAAAAAAGTGGCAACAAGACTGAATTAAGAAATGGCCCATTATTTTTACAGACAGCTATAGTGTACTTGCTCTGGGATGGGGATTAGAAATGGTATGAGTTCACGAGTGGGCATTATTACAGTGCCAGCATAACTGAATCTCTGAGGTACACGAGTCACACAGGCCCCACAACAAGCCTGGGCATGGCTTTATCAGTTATTGATTTAAGGCTCTGTTGGAAATGCTACCTTGCTCCCCGGTACAATTTCCCCTTATATATATATACACACAACTTGAGGATATGCAATCCAGTTGCGAAATTTCAACCTGCTCTAAATCGAAAATACAGTGAGAGCGGAAACACACCGGCAATCAACTACATTAGATCTCAAACGCACGTCGTGCACTGGCAAGTAGACTCGAGTGGTGACAGCTCTCATTTAATCACTCATTTAAAAAAACACAATAAAGTGACACCGATTGTGTTTCTGTGTGTTGTTTTTGTGTCTCTGGCATCTTGAGCTTGCTTGTCCGTGTTTATACTTTCAGTTTCGCCGACGGAACATACAAAACAAAATCCAAAGGCGATTTAAAAAGAAAAAGCCACTGTTAGCTAATTATGTCTCAAAATTCTTCTTTTGTTTCAGAGCCAGTTAAGATTCCCGGGACTGCCCGGAAACAAAACAGAGACATTAGCTCGTCTTGACAACACTTATAACTACATTAATACTCTGTTGTTATTATTTTAGTTGTTTCATACCCTTGCTATGAGGAAGAGCGGAGCGACGACGTCTGTGAAAGTGACAAAAATGAACTCGCGGTTAGCCGGCTAGCAACAACTGAAGATGTAGCTAATGTATGCTAACTGGCTAGGTGTAGCCTTATCTGTAACTTGCATTAGCTAGCATCACCGGGAGTGCATCAAACCCGGTTAGCCGTGTACTGCTTATTCGATATCGCTCTTTTTACCGCACGGGTCGCGTATCGCTTTAGATTAGCACTTCGCACTTGCTGTGGCCTTCATCGTCGCATCTCCAGCTATGAAAGTGGACCTCGGACTTGCCTAAGGAAGCGTAACCCCGACCCGACGCCAAGGAGGCAGGGGTACAAAGCACAGACCCCCCATCACAAATCAGAATTACCCCCTCGGCTGATTTCTGTAACGGCTCCCGGTGGCTGTCTGACGGCGGAAAACGCGCAGGGAGGTAAACAATCTGCCCGAAAAGAGGCTGTAACAGTTGAACCTAGCTTATTTACCTCTGGATGTGATGAGAAAGAGAAGTGGTTCTGGTGGAGAGGAGGAGGAGGAGGAGGGGGAGGAGCAGGAGTAGGATGGCAGCTGGAGCAGGAGAAGAGTCTCTAGCTCCCTCTCCGTCCCACTGTTCAAACAGCTCCCTCGGAACTGACACATAATCCCTGGCTGGCTTTTCTTTTTTTTTTTCTTACCCCTTCTTTCTCACGGCGGACATATCTGCCGTGAGGGGAGAGGAGCTTGGTTAGAGGCGATGCTAAGGAGTATCAGGTCATTTTTCAGGACAAAAAATAAAAAAGGCTGATGGAGGGGAAATCAACAATTTACCCCCTACAGAGTGACCCTTAAGAAAAAGCCTTGAACTAACGCACTGTGTAACCTGTGTTTCATTATTGCTATCACAGAGCTTGTTATAATAATAATAATGTCTAGAGTTTTTTTAAGCTTTCCCCATTATGCTGCACTTGTTTAAATAAAATGATGTGCTTTTCTGATGACTTTTTATTTTATATATATATATATATATATATATTGGTCTATTCAAGTGTGGACAGAAAGCAGTCAATCAACTGACTGCCTCCCACTAAAAATTTAACCACAGCTTGCCCAGAGCTACAAAATTCACTGCCCCCTCTTTAAAATGTTCTCGCATGACCCAAACTAATTAGGACTGTAGCGGTTTGGGGACACGTGAGTATATTAAAACATTTATTCACACTACATTACAACGCTACATAATAGGCCAGCAGTAAACCATTTAGCTTCGGTTTGAGACACATTAAGATTTCGTTTCATAAACAGGATTTGGTCTCCCTCTTGTGGAGGAAAAGTCAAGTTATCCCAGATTAAAACAAACAGCCTCCCCTGCGTCACTCCCCACAACCTCTCTGTCTCTCTCTAAAACTATCAAAGTTTCTGTTTTCATTTAGTGAGACAAAAAAAAAAGATCCCTCCAGCAGCAGTTTGACTTATGAAAACAAACCCAAAACAGTAACAACTACTGTATAATTGAGAATGGGCCAGTGGAATGAGTCCTCTTTTATTTTCCATCTTCTTTTCTGTAAAAACAATAAGAAAAAAAGAAGTTTTAAAATACATTTTATCATAATTACAAAGCAGGAAGAACATATTTACTATCCATCCATCTATTTATTCCACTCCAGGGACAAGTGTGCCAGTCAGACAACCATTCACACTCACATTTGCACCCATATGAGCAATTTAGGATCACCATTTAGCCTAACCCCACTTTGGACTGTGGGAGGAAGCCAGAATACCCAGAGAGAACTCACACAGACACAGAAAGAACGTAGAAAACACAGAAAGCGTTTAGCTCACATTTTACCTTTAATTATATATCTTTTAAAAAATTACTTTTTAGATTTAAACTGTGAAGGTTTTTTTTTTTAGCCAACCATCATTTCTTTATATTTTGTTAGGAAAACTTGATATATTTTCACCAGTTTATTGAAATATGCTAACATATATTAGGCAAAATTAATTCACCACTGGCCAAAATGCAGACCTAAACCATGACAGAGCATCCACTGTGGTTTACAGATGGCTGCAAACACTCACTATTGTACCTCTCTTCTAACCTTACATATTGATGACTATTTGAAACAAAGGTTTCACATTTGGATTCATCACTCCATGAGACCTGCTGTCACTGATTTTTCAGTCCTGTTCTTGTGTAATTTGGCATACTTCAGCCTTTTCTCCCTAGCTCACTTCTTGAATGCCTTCTTGACAGCCACCCTTCACCTGAGACCATTTCTGATGAGGTTTCAGTGAACAGTAGATGGGTCAACTGAAGGACCAGATGCATCATCAGGTCCTGTCTCAAGTCTTTGCTGGATTTTTCCCATTTCTCAAGGACATACCTTTCAAATACTGCTCATCTGCTGTAGATAGCTTTTCAGGCCTATCAATTCTTCATTTGTCCTGCACACCACACTGAGATGTGCCAAGCTTTTAGCTAAGAGCTCTTTGGGAGTCCCCTTTTTAATGCAAAAATGCTGTTTTGCGGCTGTCACACTGTGTTATCTTTGGTGTTTGTTTGGGTTTTTTTTTTTAGATTCATTTGTTTTTAGAAATGAGAACAAGTTATGTGCTTTTGTGACAGGCTGCAAGTAAAAAAGTGCACAAAAAGGTACAATTTAAAATTGGTTGTCTGTAACATGTCCACACAAAATTGGTTCATTGGCGTAGGTGCCTTTTTTACACTTGATGATTTGTAGGTTAAAGAAAAAAACATTCCTATTTAAATTGTTAGGTACAAAGACTAAACTAAAAATAAGTCAAAACACCTTCAGAAAACTGGAGAACTATTCTTTAAGAGTACTTCTTTGAAAATCGCAAGAAAGTCTGGAAGCAAAACATTAAAAAGCAAAAAAAAGAAAAGAAAAAGAGTAATAGCTCAAGACTTTTGCATAATATTGTATCTTTGCACTACAGCAGATGAAGAAATTACTTGAGCAGAAGTTTTGTTTTGTTTAGGAGCTGAGATAATCCAGGCAAATACTCCTCACAAATCTAAAACAGTGATACTGGGATCAGAAATGTTTTCTTTTGTTGTTTGTTTGTTTGTTAGACTTTATGACTGAAATTACTGTTTAGGTTTATAGTATTTATGAAATTCTTATATTACATTGTGGTAATTTGAAGGTATTTTATCTTTTATGATAAAGGCGTGATATCATTGAGATACTTAGCCTGGTATTGTATTGAATTTTTGTATTCCTTTCCTTATATCTATATAATTTTATTAGGATATTTATCAATAATAATGAAGTTGGTATACACACACAAACACACACACAGTCATATGAAAGGCCAGCAGCTGACGCCTGTAGTTTCACGAGTGGATAATAATGTTGCCGTAGGGTTTCACGGTAATTACTCCGCTTCAATGGGTTTAACCATGAGTCTCTAACCCGTGACGGTCATGAGGGGTTTTTGCCCCTCTCTGCTCTCCAGCACACTGAGTTAAGATATTTGAGGAGTGAAGAAACACAGCGCTCCGTGGACCCAATCTTTCTGAGAAGCCAAGCCGACCAGAAGAGCTGCTTTCTGAATCCTTTCTCTCAAACTTGGTAAGGTAGCTGGTTTTTCTGTTTGTCTTACTTTTCTATAAAAAGAAGGCTTGTTAAAGGCATGTGGGGCATTGTGCTTTTATGAAAGGCTCAATTTGACATGACATTAATGTGAATTAAGGAAATGCTAATTAGGGTCTTCTTGATAAGGTTCATTTCACTGCACAGATGTAGGATGCTCAAAGACAACCTTAGTAGCAGTCGATTTCCATTGTATCTACATAATATATATGTGATTTGTATTGATGTGCACTTAAAGTCTGTAAGATAGCATCAGTCAACACAAAGACAGAGAGAATAGACAGATAGAAGAGATGCAGCTAGGTCCGGTGTATACACTGGACAGACACAGAGTGGAAAAAGTAAGTGGTCCAAAGCTTGGAACCCCTACACAGTTACACTTTTGTGTTATTTTAAAAGTTTTAATAATTGTATCAAGACATACTGGCTTTACATTACAGGCTATTAAAGAGTGAGGACTATCTGAACTTAATTTTACCTTATCAAGATTAGGTACAATATAATATTTTCACTTAAAAAATTTGCATGCGGGTAGATAATAATGATTTCACAGTGCAGAGCTAAGCTTTATGGCATTTAATTGTGTCCAGACTATTTGTTTGGCAGTTTATGGACCTCCCTCTGGGATAATATTAGACTACTGCAATTCATTGTATTATGGTCTAGATCAGGCCACCATCCATCGTCTTCAGATGGTTCAAACTGCAGCTGCTCGCCTGCTAACTGGTACCAAACGGAGAGAGCATATAACCCCAGTTTTAGCTTCTTTACACTGGCTTCCTGTCTCCTACAGGATCCAATTTAAACTTTTACTTTTTGTTTTTAAGTCACTTCATGCCCGAGCCCCTCCTTACCTGTCTGAGCTCCTCTCTGCCTATGCTCCAGGAAAAACCACGAGGTCTAGCTCAAAACTAATGTTGTCCATCCCACAGACTAATCTCAAATCCCGTGGTGATAGATCCTTCTCTGTGGCAGGTCCCAGACTTTGGAATAGTCTCCCCTTAAATATTAGATCTGCACAAACACTTGAGCAATTTAAATCATTACTAAAGACACATTTCTATGCCCTGGCTTTTAACACACTATGACCCAAGCATTTTGGTCTTATTTGAATTAGTTTAGTTATTGTTTTAATTCTTTTATTGTCCTATTATTGTTTTTTATTGTTATTATTGTATTACATTGTTGCTTTTTAATGCCATTTTTATATTGTTAAGCACTTTGTGCAGCATCGGCTGTTTGAAATGTGCTATATAAATAAATTTGACCTTGACCTTAATATCAAAGCAGCACCTCACATCATAGCCCATTTTCAATTATTATATGGCTATATAGGCTACAATGGGTTTAAATAGTTAGTCATGTGAGCGTATTGTGTATTTGTTCCTTATAAAATTATCCCTTGTTGACTTTCAGCTTGATGTTGTGTAATCGTACACACGGCATGCCTCGTGGGGATTTCAACGTTTATTTTGCCAGCAGCAGGCGAGGAAACGTCAGAGCTGAGGAGTATGTGTCTATTGTCATCTTAAAATCATTGCTATTAAGCTACTGCTGTGCCCAAATTTGTATTGTTGTGAACACTTTAAAACCCATGTGCAAAGAAAAGTTTTTCTCAATTTGAATTGTGTTGTGGCCCACAGGGCAGTGGGCATAGCTCTGCTGGTTGTCATCCTTGCAGCACTTCTCATCCTGGGCTGCTGGTACTTCAAGAAAAGGAGTGGCTACAAACTTATCAGAGTGAGACCATCACACTTTATAAC